TCTGTCTTATTGAGAGGCACTTACATGAGAACAGGCAAAAATCCTGATATTTAATAATCACATCAGCTGATACCCTAGAAAGTATAGTGCACAGCTGGAAACCCCCATATCCTTTAGGCCTATAAATAACAACGTAACAGAGGAGCAAAGGAGCAATTTTTTTTTTTTTTCATGGTAGCTTACAGTGATACAGGTATGGAATGAAGCTGAACACTCAGAGAATTAGTGGCCACACATTACAGAGTGCATTAAAAACTCTGCACCTCACTCTCCCCAGACTGTTTAACATCTAAAACAATACAAAAAGCAACAGAATTTGAAAAGAAGGAAAAGCAGAGAAATGAAGATGTGGTCTGGCACAGAGCCATTATTCATTTCCTTCTCCTCCCTATCATTTTCTTCACTTCTAGCCCCTACCTGCATGTAAGGCTGCCCTGGCTTTCCATCAGGGTACAGATATGCAAACCCAGATGAGATATTCAGACTGCCCCTCTTGGAATCTTCCCTCCAGCACACAGAGGTTAAAATTAGTTCTTTGGTTATACCTTGCTGTTTCTATTCTGTGTTCTCCTCCAATCCCTACTTACTCCTGTACTAGAACACACTCTCCAACCCACTGTTTTCCTATATTTTCAATTAATAAATTAAAACCTTGCTAACTTTTCTTTCTGTTAACTGGGTATCAGCCTTGCTGTGTCGTTTCTCAGACCTCAAACCCTTTTTTGCTGGTTTTGCTTCCCTACTGTGTCTCCAAGTCCCAAGTGGTAGGAAACTGCCTCACTCTCTTTATTCAGTGAGAATTATGAATTACCTCTTTTTTTCAACATCTCCTGATGTTTTAGTCCAGACTCCTCCAGTAACTATTCACAATTTTATTTTTTTTTCATGAAGAAAGAAGAAAAAAAAACCCTCCTGTGGGACACTTCCTCCTCCAGTACACGCAGGTACTCTAGTAAGTAATTATGCTAATAAGAACATACCATAGGCACATAGATGACCATGCAAAAGCTCTGAGCAAACAGCTACCCAGCAGCAGTCTCTTTGCAGCTGATTGTAGCAGCCAACAGACTACCTGTGCTCATTGTGCATAAATTTACAGCTTATGCATTGGCAAATAAAATCCTAGTGCAGGATCAGAAAACATATGCTGCTAAACAAAGCTGATTTTTAACAGCTCTTGGACACATAATATTTAATATTTGAGCATATGCTGTAACATTTCTGCATCACACTAGAATGCACCTTTTTTTTTTTTCATTCATCTAACTGTTGTGAATAAAGTGGGTTAACTCTGGAGATGAGAGGTCAGCCAATGCTGCCTGATTACTAGGCTGATTTAATAGGCATTTCTGCATAGGTAAAAACATAATTTCACACACCCCTGTGTATAATACTACCTGTTGCCATGGTTAGAGGCAAGAGCACCCATAACACACTTTCTTATGGCATGGGAACCCCAATTAAGTAGTCATGCTTTGCAAGCTTTCACTCCTATTGCCACACAATCCTCTGCTCTGTGTAAACATATGATAAATTTCATCACAGAGCTGGCCCATATCAACACATTTTCTTGTTCTGATGAGGTTCACTGCCAAAAATGCTTGGGGAATTAAAAAAAAAAATCTATGAGGTCCTGACATTGGAAACACATCTTAACAGGCACTGAACTATATGATCTGAGCATCCAGTGGCTAAGTCATTGTGATACTTATTGCTGGCATATTCCTATTTTAATGAGAATTTGTCCCTCTCCTAATGTTTGAGAAACACCAAAGCTGCTGGTTATATTTGCTGTGTAGTTTGTAAATACTTTGAACAGATGTTAATGCAGCACATCTCACCCCCTCACAAAACAGGACTTGGCACTTTTCCCAGATGAAATGAATAGGGCAGCACTGGGTAACAGTTGGTCCCTTTTTCAATTCCTGTGTTTTCAAATCTGCTAATACTGGGAACTAGAATTCCATAAACCTCCATTAGATAGTAAAAATAACTCAAAGGAAATGCACATAGTAAATGAAAATTCAGACTATCACTTAGTAATCTATGTTCAGGATGATAATCTTTCCTCTTGACTGGAATCTCCTTTGCCCCAGCTGTTCTTCTTCTGCAGGAATAAGAAAGGAAAAGTTAATTTTGAGGAACACTGGCTAAGTGGTCTTTGCCCTGTTTCCTTCAGAGGCAACACAGGACACTTATGCCTTCTATGAGCAAGGCACTAGGGTTTCTATGAAGACCCACCCCTCTCCTAGAAGTTGCAGTGTGTGACTAAGGACAAGTTTGTGTAGGCTGCAATTGCAGTGGCATACCTACAATTGCTAAAGCAGCTGATAATGCCAATGAAAACTTAACCATAGAATTATAGAATACACTGAGTTGGAAGGGACCCATCAGGATCATTAAGTCCAACACAGGACAGGCCCTTCACAGGACACCTCAAAAGTCACACCATGTGCCTGAGAGCATTGTCCAAACACTTCTTGAGCTTGGTGCCGTGACCACTCCCCTGGGGAACCTGTTCCCATGTTCAGCCACTATCTGAGTAAAAAATCTTTTCCTGAGATCCAACCTAAAACTCTCCTGACTCGGTTCATGCTGTTTCCTTGAATACTGATGAGAGTGAAGAGATCAGTACCTGCCCCTCTGCCCCTCCACTTCCCCTCATGAATATGTTGAAGAGCGCAATAAGGTCATTTAAAGAATATAATTCTTTATAGAGTAAGCATTCAAAGGAAGTAGAAAGATCAGACTGTTTACAATGATATCACACTATTCCACTTCAACAGCTGGGGTACAAACTGATGCTTTAATATCAATGCATTTTGAGTGTTCTGATAGAAGAAAAAGAAGTAATACGAGAGCTTTTAAGAGAATATGGCTCCAACAGCATGACAAGATATTCTTGTTTTGGTTTTTACTCTAAAGTGAGAGGATGACTATTCTAATCACTATGCAATTGCATTTATCCAGCTTATTTGCTTTATCCATGCTTCTTGTGACACATCTATAATCAAGATTAAGTGATGGTGAAGTCACCAGGTGAATGTAATAAAACATCTACCACAGATTCACATGAAGCATAAACAGCACTCTAGTGTGCTACTGGATACACTGTTCTAGCAGAGGCGCCAATATCTACCCAACAACAGATGCCAAGTGCTTTCTTGAAGTTAAGGTAGGCCAAAATACAATACAGCCCTCAGTAAAAAATGCTACAGACTAGCAGTACACTTACACAGCCAAGTACTGTAGACACGCAGAAGGGACAGCACTTAAAAAGTTCCTCAGACGTGTTCTTATGACTTGAATGATCTTGGGTTCCTTTGAAGACATCCAGTGGGACATTACACAAAACAAACAACACCAGTCCCAGTTCTACATTCCTGGAATTCTGACTGCACTCAAAAATCAGTCCAGAAGTAACGTGGCAAGAGGGAGATACCCTCATCTGATACAAATTTTCATAGTTCCAATTCTAGACTAGAATCAAGAGTAATGATTCCATTAGTGTCTTCTTTGACACAAGACTCTGAAAGATGCTAATGTGACAGTCTTGAAATAGTTTCTCTACAAACTAGTTTTAGTCTTTTATAATGTGAAGTGTCTTTAGTCTTTCTGGTAAAGTGAAGCTATCTAGTGAATTTTGTTTCAGCAAGTTTCTTACATGCCTGAAATCTTCATATGAGGGGAAGGGGATGTGTCTCCCATCTTCTAGCCTCCAACTCCAATCCTAAGGTCACTCTCAATGTTAAATACTATTTCTAAGTACTAATGGAAAGCTCATATTTAAACCTTTTTAAAATTAATTAACTGGGGTGGTTTTTTAACACTTTCTTGTAAGTGAGCCACTTCTAAAAGAAACTTCTAAAAAGAAAGCAGAAGCCAATGTCACTGTTTGACTATCATTAGCCTTCTAAATATATTGCTTTAATACAATAATACTGGAAAGTAGGCATATTAACAATCAATAATAATTTGCCAAGCAAATGCCTTCAGTCATATTTTTCCTGGTGGGACTAAGCATTGTCTCATCATACAAACTTACCTTGAAGTTGTAAATGTTCAGCAACTTACAGTTCAGAGTTCTGCTGCCTAAGGATGAGCATATGGTTAAAAAAAAAACTCCAAAACAATGCTGCCCTAAGGGACTCGTGTATATACAGCAGTAAACGAAGAGCATTTCACTGAATTAGGAAACCAAATGCTCTAATCTGGGTACAGTCAGAACTCATTTTTTAAACTGAAGTATCATTCATTCCCTCAAAAGGACCCCACCCTGAAATGGTCACACTCAACCCGGTTAAACCACTTCCATGCAGCCTGGCTTCACACAGGCCAGGTGACATCAACCATGCCTTTAGGAGCAAGTCTCAGCACGGAGTGATAACCACCTCATGTGTATAAATACCTTTCTTAAAACACAAAAAATCCACAACCTCAACAAACAACAACACGAACAAACCCCAGGCAAGCGCGGAGGAGCTGGGGCGTTGTCCCGAGGGCCTCCGCCCACCAAACTACTTCGTCCCTTGAGCTTTTGACCCTGCTCCGGCCTCAGCGAAGAGCCCACGGAGGATAAACATCCTCGCGGCCGCTCGGGGCCGCAGCTCTCCTTCCCGGGGAGGACCCCACAGCTCCGTGCCGGGCCGGAATCCCATCCTAGCGGCCGGCAGCCCCGGGCGGAGCGCGGACAGCGCCGCGGCAGCCCCAGCCCCCCGCGTTCTGCCGCTGCGGAGCGGACGCCGGTCCAGCCCCGGGCATCCGCTCAGCGCCGCGGCCGGGCGGGCTGCCCGGGGAGGGCAGGGCTGCCCGCGGAAGGCAGGGCTGCCCGGGGAGGGCAGGGCTGCCCGCGGAAGGCAGGGCTGCCCGCGGAAGGCAGGGCTGCCCGGGGAAGGCAGGGCTGCCCGCGGAAGGCAGGGCTGCCCGGGGAAGGCAGGGCTGCCTGGCTCCGCCCCGCTGTGCTCCCCGCTACCTTCGCGCCCGCCTGCCGCAGAGCCGCTGCGCTGCGGCGGAGGCGGAGGTGCTCTGGCTGTCCTTCAGGCCGGCAGGCGAAGGTAGCCCGGTGCCGGGGCGGGTGCCGGGCGGGCTCCGCGGGACGGGACCGGTGTGCGGCGCTCGGTAGGCGGCTCGAGGGCCGCGGTCAGCCGGGCGCTGCGGGGCAGCGGCGCGTCCTGGGGAGGCGGCCCGAGGGGGCGGTGAGCTGGTCACTGCAGCCGAACGCTGCGTGTGGGGTTCTTATGGTGCTGATGGGGTTGGTAGGCTTGCTGTGCCATCCGGCATCCCCGGGGCCTGAGGAATTCACTGCTGCGTTTGGGCAGCCTTAGCTACGGAACTGCTGTACTTTTGTGGGATTGCAGCTCTCCCGGTTCAGTGAGAAAAAAATGATGTTTGCCAAATGCTGCTCCGGTGATTGCGTGATCAACCTTTAGTCCTTCGACTAGCGAGGGTGGTGTGCCAGCCTCAATCCTGCCCTGGTGATTCGTGAGCAGTGATCGTCTTTAAGACCCTGTTGAGGTCTGCAGGAGCCCGTCGGCGGTGAGCGCTGGCACACGTGCCAACAAGCCTTTGCTGGCCAACTTATCTGCACTTGAAATCTCTCTGATAAAACATTGTGGAATGTCTGATACTTCTCTACCGCATAAAAGCCCTCAACACTTATGTCTGTGTGGATATAGGCATACTAAAAAACAATACAAGGCATCAGAAGTGATTTGAGATTATATATGTGCCAAAGGGCCCCTTGGTTAATTCACTTCTAAGTACATCCCTGCTCACTTTAGTTGACAAGCCAAAATCGACCGAGTGAGTGGCAGATTTAATTGTCTGTGTGGATATGCTGGGTTGCAGTAGCTGGTGTAATTAGCAATACTAATACATTGAGTGAGAATGGAGGCCCAGTCAAGTCTGGGTTAGGGGAGAAATGCGTCAGTGGAAATTAAGCATCTCGTTGAAGGATGTAGAGTTGGTCTTCTAACAGGAAGTCTCTTGTGGTCTGTATGCATAAACAACTCTACTTCAGAAAGTGAAAGTACTTTTCTGAAAGATCTAATGTGGCTCTGACCTATACAAGCCTAATATATTAATAATTTACTTAAAGAATTACTGTCATAAATTTTAAACTGACTTTAGGTCAAATTGTGTATTGCCTCTGAAGGCAATTGCCTCACTTGTTTTTTGTCAGGGGTTAACTTTAACGTCTTCATCTATGCCAGAGATACCAGTCTCCTTTTATACAAATGGAGGATTTTATGTTAAGTGCATTAAATCAGTGCAATCAAGGCAGCAATTCAGCAGCTGCATTTATTTTAAAGACTTGTTGCTTGTTTTAGACTCAACAAAGAACTTGTACTTCCAGAAACTTGCACTTTTTAATGTGCGTGAAATTTAATAACATTTTTTCCTTTACATCTCTATTTTTGCTTAGAACAGTAATATCTCTATAGATAAGGGAGCCTATTACAGAAAACACCAATATTGGCTCTAGAAAAATGTTTTAGTGCTGTTTTGATACTTGTTTCACTTCTTACTGGAGTTACTGCCTCTGCACACATTTTGTGTGAGAATTTTAATGAGAATGAAGAATAGAAAGTACTCAATAGGAAGCATTCACCCCATGACTTTGCCAGAAATAACTTATTTTCCTACCCACTATGTTTGTGGCAAATGTTTTTTCTGTTATCAGAACAGTTTTAAGATGTCCCAATATTTCTGCCAGAAAACTTTCTGAAATAACTAGCTCTGCTCTAGCAGAGGCCTGTTTCTTTTCAGGACCAGCCTAGTTTCCCATGTAGAAAACTTGAGATTTGTGGTAACATGTTTATGTTCACATACTAAATTTCATGAACTTTGCTCAGAGTAGCAGAAACCTAAGTTACTTATCTCCTGGCACTTGTCAAACATGATTACCTATACACATAGATAGCAAAGTTAACTAAGAGATGTAATCAGGCTGGCTATGTCTAAATGTTGCTAAAGGTGCTAAATATCTAAAAGTGCTGAAGGTTGAAGTATAGGTGCCAGAGTGCTCCACCTTTAGCTGAGAAAGAAGATATTATTTCTTCATAATGTTGTTATTCAAAGATTAGAACCTGTTTTAACCAAGGATTAATTTTTTTGCACAGCTTTTGTATACTGGAAAATAACATTCCTCCAAGGACTTAAAGGCCTGCTTGGTGTCAGCATTACTGGGATGTGTACAGATTGTGAGCTTAAACACATACCTGAGATGGTATGATTCAAGCCTATGGCATTTGCTTAATGCAGAGAGGTGAAGAGAAGAAACTCAACAGCTTTGCAGTGCATTCTCAATTGTGTTCAACTGCAAAAGCAGGCTCTCCTCAGCAATGATAGTACAGGTAGCAGGAAAGTCAGTAGTAACAGACAGGTATTTACCTAGTGTGCTTTGCAGATTTATAAGCATATTGTCTTTTGAAGCTCCTTATGCTCATGTTTTTTTTGGCACAATTGGGGCTGTGACTTGTTCTGCATATGATTTCATAGTGACAAGCACTGCCTACAAAGCAAAAAACATTGTGGCCCTAAAAGCAGATTTTTTCCTGACGTATAGTACTAGTTTGTGAATACTAAAGTTCTTTGATCAAACCACAAGATTTGATTTGTAACTGTCATGCATTTCTGTTTAAGATGCTCCATGGGCAGATTTTTATTTGTAGTAGTATGTATTTATTTTAGATTTTTGTGCACATTCTGTCCGAGCAGAGAATGAAAGCCATGGCATGAGGGATGGGGAATTTCTAAAGCAGATAAGAGCAGGTGTTTCCTGTTTCTTCTGAATGGTAAATGAATTGTATACTGCATCCTGGAGGAAAGTGGAAGCAACCTGAAGGTGAGACAGAAGCAGGACAAATGGATTAGGTATGCAGGTGTAAGCCTATATATTTCTTTGAAACAATATTCAAAAGCAGGGTAGAGAAAATATTTAGAATGTATCGGAAAATGTTTTTGCAATGTTGATGTTTGCATTTTCTCTATGGTTTACCCTATCTGGTAAATGTTTTGGGGTTTTTTCAGGTATCTGAAGAAATAGCCTGAAGATGAACTTCTTCCTGGAAACATTACAATTCATTGTACTTCTTGTTTACTACTCACTGGAGTCACTGGTGTTCTTGGTTGTTCCTGGACGGAAGAAGAATGTTAGTGGTGAAATTGTATTAATAACAGGAGCAGGAAGTGGCATTGGAAGACTCTTAGCGGTGAAGTTTGCCAACCTTGGAGCCACGGTGGTCCTCTGGGATATTAATCAAGAGGGACTCAATGGCACAGTTAGACTGGCCAGAGAAAGTGGAGCAGGAAGAGTACACTCTTATGTCTGCGACTGTAGCAAAAGACAGGAAATCTACAGAGTAGCTGACCAGGTAAAGTATCATTTGTGGCTTTGACATTATTCTAAACTGAGTGCAAGCATGGGTGTAAGATGCATGAGTAAGTTTTTTAGTGGATTCAAAGCAAGAGATTAAAGTTAATTCATTCTGAATACTTGCACTTCCTATCTATTTCAAGAATTCTGGTTTTTGGAGTTGACTTGTGTATCTCTATTCCTTAAAAAATAAAAAGAGCTGGCTCTCTTTTTCAGTAGCTCATTTTAACTGGGTAGCTGCTCATTCATTCATTCATTCAATTACTGAGCAGGCACTTAATCGTGAAGTGCGGAAAATCAATTTATTGAAGCTAAAGCAGTATTTCACGTTCTGGCAGCCTTTTACCAAAAGACCATACATTGTAAAAAGGATTAACTGCTTAGGAAATTTTCAAATAATTCCATTGCTGTAAAGAGATTTTGGCAGACTTATTTTATCTAAATTAGTGAATGTATCTTGATGTCTTAAATATTTCTTTCTTTCATTTCTGAAGAGCTTTGTAAACATAGCATGTAGTTAGATATTTTGGGCAGACGAGCGGTATTGCCAAAAACTAAAATTGTTAAACAGTTTCAAGTCTAAGAACCTGTTCTCATTCACTTAAAATTTGCTAAACTTAACTGTTGAACTAAGAGATCTTCACAGTGAGTCTTGCCTGGGGATTTTTTTTTTAACAAAAAGTTTTGCTGTCTTCAGGAACATCTTTTGGTTGAAATAACGTTTTGGTGCTCTTTAAGAAGCTCTAGCCTTCTGTCTTCTTCTATCTGTTCAAAAATGGCAGGCTTTCTGATATGTGAAGCTTGTGCATGAATTGCAGCTTCTTAGAGGCTGGTGCTATTGGTTTTGTATTCCAGTAATGCTGATAAGCCTTGGTCCCCCTTGTAGCTGTTACACCAGCTGAGCTGGACATCTGCTGTCCTTGCAGAGAAGTTGCATGTCTCTCCATAGGCCTGTAGCTGTACTTCTTGCTGAACTGCAAGAGCTAGAGGAAGAATGTTATAGGAAGGATACTGGAATGAAGCAGATGAAAATTAACCTTTAGGTTTGAGGACTTGAATTGAGGGCTATGGAGAAAAGCAGTGGCTGAGTCATGCTGGCAAAATTTGAAAAAGAGAACATATCTGTGTGACCTGGGTTTAGGATGAGAGAGCTTGCAGGAACAAAGACAGGAACAAAGAAGTTGCAGTAGGGTCCAGTGTGTGGTCCCTCACTTAAAACCTTCTGTCAGCAGTTCAGCAATTTTCAGATTCATCAGATCATGCTGATCTGCACAGAAGAAAACACCTTACTACCATTATTTCAGAAGTGTCATGTCCTGCTGCTGATGTAGAATCATCCAATCTCACCAGTTCAAAAAGACTTTAGTGTTAGGTGGTGCTTGGTGCCACTGTTTAATTCATGCAGTGTATTAGACTTTGGTCTTAGTGTTCAGCATCAGCCTTTGGAAGATATGACAGCATGGTTCCAGGTCCTTTTTCCTTTTCTGGTGATTCAGCTTTATGCTGAGTTTTGCAAGACTATTCTGAACTAAATTTATGCTGGCAGAGCAGTATGTGTTTGAAAATTTTGCTCCCAATAAAACTGTCTTAAAGCCAAAATGAAATGTGTGTGGATCTTTAATATATGTTTCATCAGCCACCCAGAGACAGCATGGAAAAGTTGCTTTGGTAGGAAGAAAACCCAAAGGGTCTGCATGTATCAGGTCATTGTTTCTTTCCTGTACCAACAGGATGAAGGACAGCCTTTTGGTTATTAATACCTATAGCTTAAAATTCTTTTCCAATGTGTCTGTTCCAGAAGTACCCAATTCCTAAAGCTTAGTTTAAAAAATAGACAAGATTAGAGCAAGTTTAAGGAATACGAGGAAGTTAAGCTAGAATAAGGGATAAGTGATAAATTATTCTTTAATTCTTCACTGTATTACCCATTTCATTTTCCCGTATAGCTCAGATCAATGACTTGTATTTCAAATTCTATATTAAATATTTTCATTCTCCTTTGGAGAGCTGACACAATATCTTGCAATCAGCTGGCCTGCAGTTGTGCTCTCAAAGGAGTCTGTTCATGAAGGTTCTCAGTGTGGAGCTAAAATGAAAACTATACTTCTTCTTACTGAATTAAATTTATAGGTTTATACCTATACATTTAATACAGAATTTTTAATTACAGAATAATTAATTACAGAAATTTTTAGCCAACTTAATTTCTGGGGTAGGGCATACCAGATTCTAATCCAGAATTGCTCTTTAGTTTTAAGATGTGTTTACTGTAGAAAGATACTTGTTGTATTAGTTAAGCTCTCTGCATTAAAGACTTAACTGAAATATTTGTCCTCAGAAACAGAGGTGCTGAAAGCAGAAGTTTGTGTGGAACTGTTAGGCTCCACAAATCTGAAGAAAATCTATTTGAGAGCTCGCCTTTAAAAAGGCATCAGGTGAGACTGCAAGAACCTGAGGTGTTTGGATCCTTAACACGCATAATTTCAATTTATTTAAATGTGTAATATTTCTCTTTGTTAAGTTTTCATATATAATCCTTGAAAAGACTGTTTTGTACTTATAGCACATTCTCTTGATGCCTTTTGTTTTAGGTTAAAAAAGAAGTTGGCGATGTCAGCATCCTAATCAACAATGCTGGTATTGTAATTGGGAAGAGATTTCTTGATTCTCCTGATTCACTTGTAGAAAAAACCATGGAAGTGAACATAATGGCACACTTCTGGGTAATGCCTGTATTTTGCATATACATACTGAGACATCCTTTTAACATGTTTTCAATGCTAATTTTGCCTTTTGGAATTGAGGAAAACATGCAGGGATATAGAACTCAGAAATGATACAAGAAATTATTTACTTTGATCTGGAGTCTGTAAAATTAAAAAAAAATGTGGAAGAATGGATCCTTTGGGAATTTCTAGTGTAGGCAGATGGAAGTACTTCACATTTAGAAATTCTCTTAAGAACTGAAGTCTACCATCTGCTAAATTCCGAGGCTAGTCATAAGTTGTAGTCTTATTATTAACTGATATGGAGCAGGCTTACCTTAATAGCTGCTGCCCCTAGTAACAGAGAAGTGTTCAATTCTACTTCAGTTCTTCTATTCTGTTAGTGTTCTAGTTGTTCTGTGGCTGTGGTAACTTCAGTAAGAAACACCACATGTTCTTATAATCATCATAATAATGAGAGAGCTTTTGTCCAGAATGAGTAATATGGTGTGCTTTTTCTTCCTTTCAGTGAAGGCAGGTCACCTATATGGTGTTTCTATCATAAAGAATTGTGAAGAGACTATTCAATCATGTTTCAGTTTATTTAGAAATAAATTTAATCCCAAAGATTTTTATTTCATGTTTTCCTTCTATTAAATTCATTAAATCTTTGACATTACACAAAATTTGCAGTGAACAGTTAATTCTCATTTGAAAGAAATTTCATTACTAGATTAAGCTATATATTTAGCTTTCATCAGATTACCATCTGTCTTTGGTAGTGCTGGTGGGGTGGGAACTCCCCATTTAAATAGTTTTAATAAAATTCAAAAAAAAAAGCTTCACACACACACATCATTTCCATATAATGGAAGGGAAGAAGCTTATTAAACTCTAAAACCAACAAACACCTTCAAAAAAATGACATGTAGCTTACTTAGTAAAATGTCACATTGCAACTCTGATTTACTTTGCAGACTTACAAAGCCTTCCTCCCAGCAATGGTTGCCGCTAACCATGGACACTTGGTTAGCATAGCAAGCTGTGCAGGACTGTGTGGAACCAGTAAGATGTCAGGTAATGTATTAAAGTGTATTAAAGCCAATATTAACTAAGTAATTAGTTTGATTTTAAACTCTGCAATCAATATCCATGGGGGAAAAAAAAACCTAACTTATTTTGAAATTCTGGATCTTTCTGTATAGTTTAAGCAAGTAGTCAGACTTTCAAAACAGCTGACTTTAAACAGACGATTTCTTTACAACGTGTTTTTCAGAAGCTCAGCAGTGCTGTGAAACAGGTTTTTTTGCCCAGGCAGAAGGATCTAGAAGCCATATAGAACTTCGGAAGCTGAGAACCTCAATATTGGGTTGTGTTTTTACTCAATGTTGTTAAAATTTACTTGCAGGTTTCTGATAGGAAAGAGGTCACTTTAGATTTAGAAGAAGCTCAGAAGACATTTCTGGACTATGTATACAAAGAGGGAGGAATATGAAATAAGGTGACATAGCAGTAAAAGAAATCTAGCTCCAAGAGAGTGATCATAAGTACAAACTGAATTTTAAGTTGAAATCACATTAGAGAGTCTTGAAAATGTGAGTTTGAAGCATAGTGAGGGAGTACATGGATTTAAAGAAAAAAAATTGTATGAAAAATAATTTCATTTACCATTGCTCATTAGAGAGTGGAAAGGTGCTAGCAGGGATGTCATGAGAAACTCTGTCTGCCAGTCTAGAACAACAGTTGATTTAGGGGAGGAAAGAAAGGAATTAATCAGATCAAAAGCAAATTTTAACCTAATCCTGAAAACTATTCCTATTCTGATGTGAAGTGGTTTAGTACTGGACAGTAAAGTTTAATTTGTAAATTTAAATATTTAACTGCAATTAACGTTTTGTATTACAGATTACTGTGCAAGTAAATTTGCAGCAGTTGGTTTTGCAGAGTCAATTGATATGGAGATGAGAGCTCTGAGAAAGACTGGTGTTAAAACCACAATTGTGTGTCCTTTCGTCATAAACACGGGAATGTTTGATGGTGTTAAATCCAAGTAAGTAAATTCTTGTGAGGTTTTTATGAAAGTTGCATTTTTAGTATGTTATAAATCCCTATTTCCTTTACGAAAATCATGTGCCAGGCTTTTTTTTGCTTGTATTATTTTTAAAGCTTCAGATGGGTGTTAACAGTGCTATCCAGTGACTGGGCAACTCAAAAGGCCTAAGTACTTTAGTATTCATTTAAGCTGAAATGTGAAACATAACTGCCGTCCTGGCCTCTGCAGAAGCCAAATGCTCCACTTGTCCTCTCTGGTTTCTAAGCCCCCATTCTCCTCCTGAAATTGATGGCATAGCTTTGCTCAGTATGCATGTATAATGACAAAGTCTGGGAGCCAAATGAAAGTCTGATGTGTCTTAATATGAGATCTCTGGTTTTGTCTTATGAGAAGTCATACAGAGGGAAAATAACAATGTTCACTCACTCTAACATAATGAAGATTCTATTGTTCATAGGACTTGTGGCATTTATTTATTTATTTAGTTGAATAACTGTAGAATTTAGACTTAAGAAAATGTGAATCCAAAGCAATTCACATTATAGCAATAAATATTTTCTTTTTCAGGTGGCCACATGTGCTTCCTATTCTGGATCCAGAGTATGTGGCTGAGAGAATAATCAGTGCTGTTCGTCAGAACCAAGAAATGTTGTTTATACCACGCATAGCTTATGTTTTATATTTTTTGAGAAGGTAAGTTATGTTTCTTTTTCCCTCTCTCTTTTCTGTCTGGGGATGCTTAAAGTACAAAAGAGGCTTCTGCTTACTGGTTTGAATTTTCATTAAGTTATGCACATTTTTTGAAGGGTTTTGTTTGTTTGTTTGTTTCTATGGGTTCAGTCTACCCTTGGGCTACATAACAATGACAGAAATGTCTAACTGTGCCTTTCTGACTCCATGGGTGCAGTTTTAGCAGGGGCTGTAGAGACAGCCTGCTTCTCCATAACTGCATGTCAGAGAATTATTGGTTGGAAAAGACCTCTAAGATCACTGAGTTCAACTGTAAACCCATCTGGTGTCTTGCTCTAGTATTTGGGCACTTTTGACTCTCTTGCAAGCCATGTTGGAATACTGATCTATCTGTAACTCAGGCTGCCAAATGAGTGTAAAGGATATTTTGGGAAGACCAGTGGGTCTATATTCTAAAGAGTATACTGCCTTTGCCAGTATTAGCCAGGTTAAACTAATTCTGTGATAAAGCTGCACAACTCTTCTGATGTTTGTTCCTTTTTATCTTCTTCCATGTCCCTACCTTACAGCTTCCTACCAGTGAAAGCAGGTGCTCTCCTATTACAATACTTTGGAAACCTTGATATCATGAATACCTTCAAAGGTCGACCAAAGAAGGAGTGAAAAAGCACAGAATTCAGAGACCAGCAGCTCTAAAGTGGATGTTGTTAAAGGTGGTGGTGGGAAAAGTTAGCTTCACTAGCAGCTGTGAGCTTTAGGTGCTTGATTTCTCAATAGTAACAAGATTTTTAAGAGTTGCTTTTTAACTGTCTTTTAATCAACAGCTTTCATCTGAACTATTGTATTTAGTCCTGCGACTTCTTCTCTTTTCACCTCATTATGAAAATGCATTAATTGAATTTAGTTGCTTTGGTTTATAATGCCTTAAATGGGATCCTGCATCACAAACCAGTAATTGGCAGCTTTGGGGGGAAGAAAAGACCGAGAAACTACATGTATTTAGCAGGTAGCCAGAAAAGCCTGTAGTGGATCTGACTTCTTGCTGCCATTCAATGAACCATGAAGTTGGGCTGTACTGCTGGTGCCACTACCATTCCCTGGTAAGCTGAGGTAATTCAAGAATTACCTCAAACAACAGATTCTGACTCTTACAAATGAAAGTTTTGTGAGTTAAAAATATACACTCTGTTGGCGAAAGAAAAAATTACATTTATTAATTTTTGGAAGTGTGATCTCTCAACTCACAGCTGACAATGGATGTTGGGGCAGGGACAGGGAAGGATATGTAAATTAAGCATTTGTGCTGCTAATCTACTTTGTGCCTAAGTAATTTTAAAAGCTAATACTATGGCTGCAACTTTGTAACAGAAGTCTTTATATCTTTCATGTACAGTATTTTAAGAACCATTTTAAATTGTCATCTCCTAAGAAGAATAAACTTGTATTTATAAAGCATGAGACTGCCAGTCTAGGTGGGCTATTCAGTGTCTTGACAAAAGAGACAACAAACTACTAAAAGCAAGGGTGTTGTGTTGTATAATAGGTGTTTCTCTTGGGATTATTTCAGAAAGGAGTGGTGCTGACAGAACTGAATGGTATCATTACCACCATCCTTTGAGTAACAGCATAATGCTTTGCTTCTCTGAGTTGGGTGACAGGTTACCTTATGTCTACAGAGACTTGTTTTACTTTCCCTTTACTCTTAGGACTGTCCATTTATTTTGAGCATATGTTGAGGAGGCATTGCCCTTTTTGACAATGGATGCTTAGAAAGCTACCTTGACTTTTTGTAATCCAAAACAAGAAAAAGGAAGCTTATGTGTGCATCACTTCTGTACCTGCTAAGTCCACTTCATCTCACAGTTCTCTGCTAGTAATTAGTATAGCAATTGAAACAGTGTGGAAAAAAAGGGGGACTTTTTTTAAGGGGGACATTTTAAATCTCTTTCAATGATGGCCTAGAAACTACCTTCATTTCCCTTGTCTATACAAATAGTAAGGTTTGTTAGTGGAGAAAGGTTCACATAGAGCTACTTTACTACTGATGAGCAAGAAACACTGAGTAAAACAAGTGTGTTAAAAATCACCTTACCTTTATGATCAATTGATGAGAGCTAGAATTCAGACTGATGAAGAAGAGATTTGTTTCAATCTCCTTTCAGATCTTCAGCTTTTCTTCCTTAAAATTTTTACTCAAGAAACAGAGGTTAACCGAGTAAAAAAGACATTGTCTCAATGTGCAGTCCATACACATATTGCAGTGTTTACAAATTCTACTACTAATAACTGTGTGGTGTATCTGTGTCTTCAGCCTCCTTACCTTTTTATACTAACAGAACATACTTTTCCCGCCTGGCTATGAAGTAGAAGATATGCAGAGTTCTGGAGCAAAGGGGAAAAGTGAGCTCTGTATATGAACACTATGGGTATCAAACTCCAGCTCTAGTGAGAGCAAGTAGCTTTTCATTTTTAGTATCTCTGAACACCTTCTGCTGAGGAAAATTAGAAGCAGTAAGTCTGGCAGGGGGATTTGGGGATTTTCAGCAGGTTGATGTCTGTCACAGCCCTAGATGGATTTTACCTGATAATTTTAGCAGATACATACATCTCCAAGGAATTTTCTTACTTCACAGAATCAGTGGAAAGAACCTGTGCTCAATTTCATTTTGTATATCTCTAAGGTTAGAAACTCTACAACCTCTCTGGATAACCTGTTCTAGTGTTTGTTCACACTCTGTTTAAAAACAGATAAATGAAAATTATGCATAAATCAAATGTACTTTTTCATGTCTATCAGAGGATACCACTAAGAATCTGAGTTTGTGTTTCACACCTTTCTTTTAGGTACTTATACACATTGGGGCTTAGCCTTTTCTCAAGACTAAGCAGTCCAGAAAACTCAACTTCTCCTTGTATGGCAGGTGCTCCACTATCTTAATTATCTTTGCAGCTCTTCACTGGACTCACTGAGTATATGCAAAAACTAGTTATGAGTATATTAATATCTCCTAAAGACTGATTTCTGCACTAGACTGAGCATGCATAATATGTCATACAGGGCTTTAGTAGAAAATCTCTGCTTGCTAGTGTCCTAGTAGGAGTACACAAATAATGGCTTTTATATAAATGTGCTGCTACCACATTGAATATTGTGGTCACTGGTAAATTACATGATGTACCTGGAGGATAACAGCCTATCCTGTGATGGCTTTTATCTCCCCCATCTCCTATGATGCCATGACAGATGTAGAGTTGTATCCTGGAGGTCAAACAGCACACATCTTTCCTCTGTGTTCAGAAGGTTGCATGGAGCAAGTGTTTGGATCTTCAACTGAGATATAAATGTCTTGAGATAAAAGTTGGCTTACTTCCACCATAACAATGATCTTGACTGATTAGTTTCCTGATGCCAAAAAAGAGTCTTTCCTTCAGTTCTTGACAAGAAAACTCATGGAAGGATCACTATGACACCCAAACAAGAAGATAAAACTTGGAAAGGAACAGCATATATTTTGTGACAGCATAATGTCTGACTGCTGGGAGGTATACCAGGCAGCTCCCACAAAAGAATTGTTGGTTTCATGGCCATTGCCTGAAATTTTAAATAGTCTCTCCCCAAAAATGTCTGTCCCAGTTTTGATTGGGATGGCTGCATTGGCCTAATAATAATGGTTATGGTGATTCAAATGCAATCCATGGTATTTTATTACCTGCTGTATTTCTTTTCCATGTGAGATCATATTCCTGTGGTAGCAGAAGACTTGCTGTCTCCTAATGCTTCAAAACATGGAGAACATAGTGCCAAGAAACATCAACTTGATTAAATCCTCTGAAGAAGATTGAGAAGGAAAACAACCAAAAAGCCAGCAGCTGAGATACAAGCTCCATTATTATTTTATGAATTTGGAATTCATACCTAGGAGCTATGTGTACCTGCTTGGAATCTGGTGTTCATGGTGGTCTGGTTTCATTTTAGGAAGGAGCCAAGCAGGTACCTCTTCTCTGGTAACTTTCCTAGGGGCAGTTGATTGTCCAAAGATGCTTGTGTGGACTGCATGCTTTGCTGTGCAGCTGTTCAAAGCCACAGGCTTCATAAAATAAGCATTTTAACAAAATAATTTAGCTTCTCACACTGACATTTTCTTTGCTGTGACAATCAAGAGAAATGTGTTTGGATCCATAGATATCAGATATTCTAGGAAAATGCAGGATTACTGTCTCTCAGGAGACACTTAAAAATATGTTATCAATGGCCAGGTAGGTGGGGTAGCACTACAAGCAGAGACTTCTGTCCACTCACTGTATGACACGCTTTCTCTCCAGTCTTAGGTGTCTCCAGCTTGATGATATTTTCACTGCCTTTCAAAGCCACCAAGCTCACAGCCTGAAGTTCTGTGAGAACAAAGAGAGTCTGTGGCCTATGGCTGAGGAAAACATAGCTCTGTCTAGGGAAGAAAAGTGGAAAAAAAATCACACCTTCTTTCTTTGCCCTTGGCAATATCACACTAGGAGGAGCACCCTCAGGATTGTGACAGACATGTTCAAGACAAAGGAGTGACAAAGGCAGAAGTCCTATGCCATGGTGCTCTGCGTTGTCGCATCTGCTAGATAGCTACTGCTTGATTAAAACAAACCTTGGTTCTTGGTACAGCTGTGTTGAGAAATTTCACCCCTTATCCAAGGTCAGGCAAAGGAAAAGTTGTTCTGTAGGACTTGTAGTGGAGTAGTTTTCCACAATCCCTGCCCAGGAAGGAAGAACCCTAAGATATATTGTTACACTTCTTCCTTACCATGTCTTAGGGTCCAGAGGCAGCAACCCCGGCTTTGGCACAGAAAGAAGAATCAACAGGGCCAGAACACAGGTGGCAACAGGAACACTGTCAGGACATGCAGCCAACAACAATTAAAGAGGTTCTTGCTAAACAAATTTAGCCTGTTGGCAGCATAAACTTCATGTCTAGAAGGTGCCACAGTCTAAGCTACGTAACCTGGGTGATGGTGCAGTCCCCCTGGGCAGCTATCTGCTTCATCTCTATTAACTGTATTGCTGTAAAGGCAGCTTGCTCAGAGATTAATGCTAGGTGATATATGATAGCTGAAGAATCTGTTGAGCACACAATCTTTAGTGATTGTTCGCCAGAAATGGGAATTTTTTGTTGGAAGATTAACGTGGAAGATCATCTCAATATTAATTCTAGAAAACACACTTTGCATTATTTATTGTCTGCATATTTCTGTCCTGATAATGATGATTAATCCTGAAGCACACTCACACAATGCACCATGCACAGCTAATAAAGTTACAAAACTGATTTGAATCATGCTACAGTTATTGCAGAATGTCCTACTTGTGTTTTGTGGAGCTTCTGACAAATTAAGAGAAAGCTGTCAATTCTAAGTAATCACATCTGTCAAGGGTGTTGTATCCAGAAGAAGCAAATATCACTAGAATAGCCCGGGGAGGTGCTTGTTTGAAGTGTTTCCTTCAGCAAGTATGTAATTTCTACCCTCTGGTATTTAGTCAGTCTCTAACAGAGGATGGGAGTAATTGACAATGTGCCTAGCTGAAATTTCTGTGTTAAAATTTCCTAAAAGAAGGAATACCACGTTAATTCCACCAAAAAGAAAATAAGAATACTTGAAGCAGCTAGAGCCTGCTGTAGCAATTATCTCCACCGTCAGCAAGAGGCAGAAATCTGTTTCCAACTTTGCTTCTGAGCCAAGGGCTTGGAAGACAGCTATGAAAGTAATTTATTCAACCTTTATTTTTTCCACATTGACAATGAAATGTCTGACTGCCCTCTTTCATGCTTTTAGATCCAGCAAATTTTATGTGCAATGACATTTATAACAAAATTTTAGGGATTTTGGATTGGTCCTTAGCGTTCAGATAATTGAAAATACAAAGGTGGTTTTTTTTGGTTTTTTTTGCTTTTGTGTATGATTGTAACTCTGCCTGTCTAAATGGGTCAGGTTTTCAGCTCCCATTCAAAGGAGCTGAGAGAGCACTGAAACAATCACTTCACATTCAAGAAACAATGTCCTGACATCTGCATTTTCCTAGATTTGGAATGAGGCAGCTATGTTTGTTGGAAGAGAACTACAGTGTCCAAAGTGGAAAACCCCCTTAGAAAAGAAGACAGGAGGAGTGATACACCTACACCCCGCAGCCCCCTGAAGTTACCAGGCCAGCCCAGATCTGCAAGGCCTTGGGGGAAAGTGTATCAGGAGCTGGGCAAAGATTCCAAAAGAGGCTCCAACTCCCGATGTGGTCCAAGATGTTTATTCCATAGGAGAAAGGGGGAAAGAGAGAGAACCAGAAAGGGACAGAGCCTTATCTAGGCTCAGTACAGGAAGGGCTACTTGGTTCCCAGCCAATTGATTCAGCAAAGGAAGGAAGGGTCAAACTAACAGGTCGCATCTAAAGGGGTCTCTGGGGAGGGAGAAACCATTCCCCA